ACTAACTCATGGTCTGAATCGCCACTTATGTAGGAACCAGTGAATCCTGTGATCACTTAAGGGTAAACCGACAGTTCTGTTGTTGGGGCAGTATTCGGTTGGTAAGACATCGATGATATCGTATCTGTTGAATGGTAATTATCCGGGCGCAGATATTGGCCCTGAGCCAACAACAGATATTTTTGCTCATGTCGACTACAGCGAAAAAACGCAGACTGTATCAGGAGTAACGTTGGCTTCTGACAATACCTATCAGTTTCAGGTAATATGCAATACAATGCATTACTTTCGGACCAAATTTTTTCGATAAATGAAGTTAAAGTATATTTTAAAAAGCGTGAGAAAGAATGACCTTTCTTTTCGGTTGCTTTTACCAGGCTCAGAATTTTTATCTGAAATGCTCTCCTCCTAACAAACTGCAGTGAAAACCGCACATTTATATGAAAGCTCTGCTTTGAAAATTTCTCGAAATTTAGCATACTTTGCAAAAGTTCGTTACAATTTAATACTATTTCTGGCGCTTAGCAACAGTTTTTTAAAAAAATTACATCAAATTATATCGACAATTATTAAAAATTACATCTCACAAATTATCATTCCCATACTAGAAATACCATTTGCACAATCCCGATTCAGGCCTCTCATTTTGGGAAATATACAACGGACTAGAAGATGACGAAGCGCGGCACGCTACAAATGCCCGGTTGTTCTAAGCGTGTCGGTAAGGCACTGTGCTAAATGATGTTGTCAGAAGGTCGTGGTGCTTGTACTGGAAACATTGTGGTTTAGCGCATCAGACTCTTAAAGAATTTTGGCTTTTTTGCGAAAGATAACTCGAGTACATGGCAGTGCTTTTCCGACCAAATCAAAAAAATTTTTGCTAGAGTTTAGAATTGAAAAAAATCAAAACGAAGCACTGCTGTATGCAAAGTAGGTCATAATCAAATAATCTTGCGCTATGGCCAAGCTTGAACTGTAGTAGCATTTGTCGTTTAACAGCCCAATAGAGCATCAAAGATGTTAGCAACCGACAAGTTTAGCTTTTTTAGTCGCTGAGCATGTTTGGCGATGTATTTCTGAACAAGTTAAGGGCTACGCGCTTCAAGTCACCGCTGTTGAAGTATGTATCGATAATTGATACTCCAGGAATCCTGACCGGCGATAAACAAGTCTTTTTTTCGAACTGATATTCTGTTGCTCATTAATTAGCGGCATAATTTTTACAGCACTGTGAACATTTACAGCCTTGATTTAGCAGAGTTAACATGAGCATTCATTAAGGATTTGATCAGTCCAAAATTCGGAGTGGTCATTCGGAGAGATGAACGGGCCTTCATTTTCAACAGTCACTTGTTAAGCTCACTATCGAAAATTCAGAACTGCTCTGATACTTACATTTTTGCG